TTCCTTTGCTCTGACAGGACCTGTCTGTGGACACCACTGCGTTTCCGGAGAAGATGAGTAACGGGGTGCTAAGGGGCAGCAGGGACAAGGAGGCCATGGCAGTGGCTGAGGAAGGCTCAGCCCACCAGGGCATCAGCCCCACCTTCACCCTCTAGGCGACCTCACTGTGATCAGGCCTCAGGACTTGGGCCTCTGTCCACACTTTGCCAGGCACACCCCCTTCACCCCGAGCCCGTTGTCTCTCAAAGGCCAGGACAGATTCACTGTGTCTGCCCCAGGCAGAGGGTAAAGCTGTCACACACAGGGGTGTAGGGATGGGGTTAGAGCTTTACTGACCACTGTTAATCTATTCCAGAGCAGAGATTCTAAACATTTTTGGTCTCAGGACACCTTTACATTCTTTTTTTTTTTTTTTAATGGAGGTACAGGGGGATTAAACCCAGGACCTCACACATGCTAAGCATGCACTTAACCACTGAGCTATACCCACCCGCCAGGGGCCCTTTACATTCTTAGAAAAGTAGAGCTCTGAAAAGCTTTTGCTTATGTGGGTTATTTCTACTGATATTTACCATATTAGAAATTAAATAGGGACTTTAAAAATGTTCACTTAAAAGTAACATTAATTAACCCACTATATTTGAATATACATAACATTTCAATGAAAAATAATTATTTTCCATATTGGAAAATATTTAGTGAGCAGAGTGGCATTGTTTTACCTTTTTGCAAATATCTTTCATGTCTGTTGTAACTGACAGCTGGATTCTCCTATCTGCTTGTGTATTCAATCTGTTGCTGCAATATCACATGGCATAAGGAAAATTCCATTACACTCATGAGGGAGTAAGAGTGAAAAAGGCAAATAGCATCTTGTATTACGAAAATAGTTTTGGCCACTTACAGCACAGTTTCCCAGACCACACTTTGCATATCTCTGATCCGTCAGCAAACTTTTTCTGTAAAGGGCCAGGACTCCTTCACAGGAACTCTAATTATTTTAGGCCTTACAGTCTGTTGCAGCTATTCAACCCAGCCGTTGTATCAGGAAAGTAGCCATAGACTGTATGTAAACAAATAGGTGTGACTGTTCTGCAATGAAAACTAATTTACAAAATCAGGGGCTGGATTTGGTCCAGTGGCCACAGTTTGCCAACCCCTGATCTCGAACACCATGCTTACAGGGGCCCTTGGTTTAGGCTTGTGCCACAAAAGGGAGAGAACAGTGCCGTCTGACTCATCCCAGTCCAGCTCCTTCTGGAGGAAGAGAAAAGGAATTTCTCGGACAAGACTAGGTTTTTTATTTCTAATAATCTGGTTCCCAATTTGGTGAAATCTGCAATCTCCACCTTAATACTTAGATATCCCTTGGCCAGCTCTGCTTCTCCCATAGGGCATTTGAGCCTCTGCCCTGTGATTCTGCTGCTCCTCAGAAAGCACACGCACATCCAGCCCCCGGGGAGCTGTCCTCGCCATCACTGCCTCCACCCTCACCTCAAGTCTGCCTTGAGTCACGGGCACCTGGGGATGGGGTGGGTGGTACAAGATACCCAAGTCAACCAGCCATCTTTCTCACTCCCGAGCCAGCTACCTGATGTCTTTTGTCATCTGGGCTCCTGTTTCCTTTTGGAATGTCATAGCCCTGTTCCCAGGGTCTCCCAGTGAGAGGATGTTTTTCTTCCTCTGCTGCAGAGGAAAAGGGGGTTACTCCTGATTCTGGCTCATTTATGAATCCAAGTCTCCAACCTGACATTTCCTCTGGTTATTCCCAGTCATCCCCTAGTCCTTCCTTTGGCTCTGCCTGACCCTTGCATCCCTTTTGATCCCTGGCCTGACTGTGCTGGGCACTGTCTGGCTGGAAGAGATGGCCTCTGGACTCCATGGGGACTGGCCAGAGCACTAAGGAAAGCAGCTTTGCCTGGAAAGATCTAGAGGCTAAGTCTGCCTCTAGACTTGTAATGATGGCACTTGTCCTTCCCAGCCCTCCACCAGCTGCCTCCTTCTTTGGCCCTCCTTGTCTTCTCTACCAGGGTAATGTGGTCCCTCCACCAAAGGATCTGATATCACTAGGCAAAGGCTGGCGTCTGGTGGGGTGGGTAGAGCAAGCTCCAAATCCAAGACTCCTGAGTTATCAAGAGAAGCCCCATGCTGTGGGGTGACCCCAGTGCATACCCAAAGCCAGCCTTCCCAGTTCCATCCCTGGTCTCAGCCTAGGAGGAAATTCATCTGCTCCTTTTTCAAAGATGCTCACACTCAACAAGGAAGATACTGTTATTTGGCTTTAAAAATAGAACACTTGAGCTGGACTTTTATGGTCTTGTGAAGAACACTGTGCTCATGGCCACCCACACCTGGTCTCTGCCCTGCCTGGCCCCATCCAGCTGCCCAGAAGCAGCTCTGCACAAGCTCTCCAGGCCCCTCAGCAGAAACTTGGTAGATTTACGTGTTTGGCCTTGGCTGAGGCCTTCTCCCCATGGCTCTGAGCCACAGTCCGGCTGCTCTCCCACATCCCCTGCAGCCGCGGCTGGGACGTTCTGTGTCTCCCTTTCACCCTCCACCCCAACTTGCTGAGTCACCCCCTCGGCCCCTTTCCCCTGCTGCCCTGGCCAGGCCTGTGGAGGAATAGCAGCTCCTCACAGGAGAACCCAGACCCCTGGCCGCTCCCAGCTGACCCAGAACCTCGTTTATTCTCATAATATCAATGGTGGCTCCAAGGGCTGCTCCTACCGGGACACTAGTTGGCCTGGCCCATGCCCTTCCACTCTGAGGCACTGAAGTTTGGTGACAAGGTGAGTCCTCCGCCTGCACTTCAGGTGCCTGATCTAAAGCCACATCTGATCTGGAAAGTTACTTTCCATATGTATAGACTCTGATTTTTCCTCAAACTATTTCTTCAAGATCAGAGATAAATTTCATTAAAGCACTATCAGATTTCTGGCACCCTGCGGTAGGACTTAGGGAGAGCCTGGGAGGACAGTGTCGGCAGGGAGGAGCTGGCCATAGGCAGCTCATTTGTAGACAGAGTGTAGAAATAACTCCTGAGCCAGTGAGGCCTTAGGCCAAAATCATACAAGGGTCCTGGTGAACCCAGGCCTATCTTGTTTGTCCTGGAGGTTAGGTTTCTAACATAATGCAGAGTGAAGAGTGTAACTATTATCCCCTGGAAAAGATACACGTTCTCCTTCTAAGGTCCTTCGAGGATGTAACTGAGTCTATCAGAATCCTTCCTATGCTAGGCCTTAAGGTGCTCCCTGGTTCAGTTAAGGTAGAGCTGCCTCTGGGGTAAGATATCATGCAGGGCAGCTTGGACTATGTGGAAGTTTCTCGGGATCCTGGAATGTAAGCAATGTAAGCTTGATGGCTTGACCTGTAAATAGAACTCATACCAAAAGAATGGAAGGGCACAGGGCCCAGAGAAGGAGAAAATGTAATGATGAGGGGACAGCTGGAGAGACCGTAATGCAGATACAAGATTCCTAAATTCCTCCCTGTTTCTCTGACATCAGGTAAGCATCTTGCAGTGCAGTAACAAAGCATATTCCCTTCTTCAGTTTCCCCTCTGCCTATGTGACCCCGACTGAGGTCTGTTCACATTCACAGCTGCCAAGAGCTTGCCTGGCCCCTGGCTTTACCATCAGCACCCGCGGCTGCTGCCAGCCTAAGCTCCTACCCCCGTCCCTGGGCAGCAGTGTCTGTCCTCTTGGAATCTCCAGGGGGTCTGCGGGAGCCTGAGGGGAGAAAAGCAAGGAATGGTGCCCTGACTCAACTTCCAACCCAATCAAACCCTTTCCTCTCCCACTTCCCTTGTAATTGCCACAGAAGAGGCACTGGGGAATAACCCCCCTGGGGACAAGATGAGGATCGGCTCCTTAGTCCTCCTGAAGTGCCCACCGCTTCGCCTGGCCTGTGTGCTGGAACCTGGGAGCCGAGCTCGAGTGATCCGATGGGTGAGAGTCAAAATGAACTGACAGAGAATCCAGGTCCCTAAGCTCGGGTCACAGTCCAGGAGAAAAGGGCAACTGTGATGATCACTTGTCAGCAGATGCTGGTGAGACAGGCCTGGTGGGAAGAAGAGCATCTGCCTCTCCAGAGACTTGGGGCCCAGCCTCTGCCTCCTTTGCTCTTTGGCCCGAGGTGGCGGCTGTGGTGGAGTCCAGGCCAGAGCATCCCAGACCTCCGGCATAGAGACGAGATCGCATTGGCCACTTCTGCAAGACACGGGGAGGGGACGTGAGACATGTGCAGTAGGGCAGCTCCTCATAGTCCTTGATGTCCAAAACTCCTCCTTCCCTAGCCTCCCTTCCTGGGACCCTCTCCTGCCAGGGCCGCTCCAATGACAGTGGTCTCAGGCTCACCACCACTCAAGGTCTCACACATTCTCCTGACCACTTGAACCTGTCTGAGAGGCGCAGGAGGAGCTGTCTGAGGAGAGCAATGGCACCCCATGGTGGGGAGGGAGGTGGCCAGCAGGGCTGGCAGCAGCCAGGGGCTAGGCAGTGGAGAGGGCAGCAGAGATGGGGCAGGGAGAGTCTCCTCCTGACACTGAATAGGACTGACCCCTTCTCTTGCCCAGCACCCAGCCCAAGTGCCTCTGGCCCCAGACATTAGTGCTGCCTGCTCCCTCTAAGCAGGGCACCTCCCAGGATTGTTCATCCTTCCAGCAGGAGCGTGGGCAGTCCCAGAAAACTCCAGGTTTACTCTGCCCTGAGGTCTACCCTCCTCTTGACAGCCCTCCACCTGGGCCACTGGTCTTGGTTAGGTGCCCCACCCTACCAAGCTGCCAGAGTTCTAGATCAAGCTGGGCTCTCATTTATTCATTCTTCAACATTTTTATCCATCACCCACTCCATGCAAGGGCCTTACCTTGGCCACCATCTTACAGCTAAGGAAACAACTATGCTACTCCAGGACCCTGCACCAGGTGCCACCACTGGCATTTCAGAGTTGCCCCTTTTAGTCTCAAATTCTTGCATTTTAGTTGTATTTGTATGAAAGGAAAAAAAATTTCAAGACATTTTAAAACCATGATGTTTAAGGGAGAGAGATGGTGAAAAGTAGCCTCCTTAAAAATAAAATTGTCCTCACAAGGCAAAGATGGCCCTTTATAATAGTTACACTCTGTAATCAGCAACTTACAGTGCTGCCCCCCCCCACCTCCTCCCAGGGCCTGCTTAGTGGCTATGAGCCCAGGGTCTGAAGTCACATACTCTGAGATTCAAACTGCATTCAGCCACTTAACCTCCCTAAACTTTGTTTTCCTTATCTGTAAAGTAATCCTCATTTAGTCTTTATGTGGATTAAAAGATAAAAATGCACTAAAGCACATAGTCTAGCTCCTGGCATAATTTTAGCCCTCAAGTAGTGTTAGCTGTTATTGTGATGATGATTATTGTTAATCATACTTTTCCTTTGTGATCTCATTTTATACACTGGAAGCAAAGTTAAAACTCACATTATCTTCCTTTTCAAGTATAATAAAA